CAAAATGACAACTCCCTTGAGTAACTCCAAAGGGAGTTGTCATTTTGAGGTGTCAAATTACTCATTTGTAATTTTAAACACTGTTTTGACACTCTTAAATTATTAATCTGTTCCACTAACAAGTGTCAAAATGAGATATTATTTTTTATATTTTTATTTATCACTATATATAAATCGTTGAATCTATATTTATATAATAAATTTATATTCATCGGCTCATTTACGATCTCTTACTTCCTCTATGCAGGGTTGCCAAAATGCTACCAAAAACTTTGATCCTATTTTTCATCCCCATATACCAAAATTTTGGAATGAAAATTTTGGATTTTGGAGTGACATACGGGGTGGCACGTAGTTACAGGTGGGGTACAGCGCGCGGGTAACAGGAATGGTTCCATAAAAGAAGCGGCAAAAGTTCTGACCCAACAAAAGAGAAGAAGCGACAAATGTTACCCGCGCTTAGAAATACGAGCCTGACCAATCCACTCAGACGTCTCTGCTCTCTCTCTGTCTCACCAGCGTGGTCGAGATTCTGCAAGGTTTGTTACAGTACTTCCTATCGTGCCTCAGTTAACGGTGGGATTCAATTACATTGTCTTCCGATCAGAGCCTTTATTGTAGTGTTCAACTTCAACTTCAGAAAATTCAATTCCTTTGACCTATTCCTTGGTGTTCCTGGAATTTGCGTACACCATGGTACATTTCTTTACCTTAATCGCCCCTTTTGTTTTGTTGTTTTTTAGAATGTTTTTGATTTTTTTCCCCGACTTCTGTCGATCGCTTAGAAATATAATTTTTTACAAGTTGATTTGAATGATATGCCATTTTCGCAAATGAGTTTGTATGACGTGCCATTTTTTTTTCCCTTTTCTGGGAGCTCCTTTGTCGTGCGTACTTAGAATGGTCAAAGAATAAAATGTTGTTTTGCTGAGAAATATACTGACTTCATTGTTTTTTTAAGTTTAATTGTTTGTCTTATACAAATTACAGAGTGGGTTTTTAGAGTGAAGAAGAAGTACATAACTTCTTGTACTCAAACCTTTGTTCATGCATGCACTTCTGAGGTGCTTAGGCGGTGTTTGGGTTTAGCATTTGGACGTTGGGTTAATATCTCTTACTTACTCCGCCAGTTGAATTTCGTTAATTTCACGTCCCTATCGAGCCCTTTTCTACTTCTTTGTTCAGTTTAAGTTGTTTGAACTGTTTCTACATGTTGGAACTGTACTGATTGTAGCTGTTGCCTTATTATCACTTTTCTTTGTTACACCTTTGTAGGTTTACAAGCCAAATCCTACATCAACGGGTTTAACATTGCTGTTTTTATTGGTATTTTAGGGGTTCCATTTTTCTTTATATCCATTGCTGCAGTGGGTAGAAACGTGAAAATGAGAAGCATTTGACGTGTTTTGATGGTGTGCTTTGCTCATAATGATCTCAAATGATTACAAGTGTCGTACATGGCATTTTTGAATGCAATCGACACCTAGAATAGCCAGAGACACAGATTTTAAGTCAATAGATCTATAGGAATCATTTTTATTTATAAGTTTCTTTAGTGAAGGAATTTGTTCCGTGTGTACAATGTATTGCAGCACAAAAGCCTTCACTGCCATTTTTTAAAGCCCAGATTTTAATCAGTTTGAAAATGTTGCACATTACTTCTAGCTTAAATATTTTCCGAATTTGAGAAGATTGAGATCGTTGTGGTTTGTCATTACAATATTGGCATAATTTGGGTAAATCACTGCATCTGGTAGCTTCCACAAGTGAACGATTTAGTCATAATTTAGAGGAACAAAATCCCCCACATCATAAATTGTATTCAGCCCCAAAGACTTGATGACAGATTCTGTTGTTGGTTAGATGGATGCCTGTGATTTTTTCAACCCTTCAACCATTAAATTTTTTTATTTCAGCCCCAGAGACTTGAGAATAGATTTTGTTGTTGGTTAGATGGATAAGCTGTATTTAGGGGTTTGTTGATGCCTGTGATTTCTACAGTCCTTCGACCATTAATTTTTTTTTTTTTCAATGGCAATCTACATGGGAAAATAGTTTATCAGTGGCCAGTTAGTTGACTTTTACCATAAGTGTCATTGTTGGTCTTGGATCTAACTCTTGGGTGCAGGTGTAACAATTCGTGTTTCAGACAGTTTTGCTATATAACATTGATAATCAACGCCAGTATTTTTACTGTTTTCTTCTGTTGATGTTTGTTAGCTTTGTATAGATAATAAATTGTTTTCACATTCATCCTTGTTGTCCCATGGTGGAGTCAATAGCTTTAGTATTGACACCTAAGAATGAAAGTGGAACCTCGGTCCGTGCATCAGTATTTGCCAATTTCTTACACCTTTGCCTTTAGCTTCAGCCCTTAGGTATTTTTAAGGTGTTATAGCTAGATTTCCAAGGCAGTGTCATTCATTATGGATATTGCCTTTACTGCTTTACATTTGAATCCAGGTAGGAAGCAGTTTAGTGCTTGTCATATCTAGAAAGATGTAATTCAGTAACGAATAGCATAGCACAGTAGTTAAAACTGTTAATTGCGGCTGAAGTTATCCGTTGAGCACAACAGAACCAAGTGAGGTCTCAAATCATCAAATATGTTAGAGATTAATTACTTCTATTGGGTTGAATCAAGGATTGAAATTTTGTTTTGGTGAGCTTGGAAACGGAAATATTTCGGTAATATTTTGGAAACGGAAATATTTCGGTAATATTTTGGAAACAATCGAAAACAAAGAAAAATTTAAACATTTATTTCTGAAACATTGGTTGAAATATATCAAATATAGGTCGAAACATATTGAAACACCTAAAAATCTATCGAAATACCTCGAAATATACGAATTTTGATATTCAATCAATGATTCGTTTCAGTTCTCGTGGAATCAAAAACGTTTCGACCGATTCGAAATTAAATTTAGTTCAGTAGATTGAATATTAGGGGTGTCAATCGTGTCAGGTTAAACGGTTACGTGTCGGGTTAAACGGGTGACAGATGAAAAACATATAAACCCATACACGATACGAACACGACCTGTTTAATAAACAGGTAACACGACACGACTCATTTAACCTGTTTAATTTTAAAAAAATTAAATCAACAAATTTTAATACTCAACTTTTTCTTATTATCAATTACACCTTATCTCAAAAAAGGGGAATTTTTAGTCAAATCTCATAAAAATAAGACTTGAAGACTTAGAAGAAAAAAAAAGAGGCCATTGACTTTATAGACAACTCAGCCCTCTCCATCTCCCCTCATTTTTCAATGTGAGACAAAAACAAAAGGTATTGGTTTGTCTTTGTCTTTGAAGNAAAAAAAACAAGAGGCCATTGACTTTTATAGACAACTCAGCCCTCTCCATCTCCCCTCATTTTTCAATGTGGGACAAAAACAAAAGGTATTGGTTTGTCTTTGTCTTTGAAGTGCTTTCCATCTCCTCTCCTTTGTCTTTGAACTACTATTTTACTTCTTTTTTTTATTGATTTCTTTACTTCTTTTTTTCTTGTTAATTTTTTTAAATAATTATTAATTTATTATTATATTAATTTTTTTTAAACGGGTAAACGTGTGATAAACGGTTTGACATGTCTCACCCGAACATGATCTTTTTATTAAACGCGTTTGGCGTGTCAACCCGTTTATCACCCAAATCCGTTAAGATCTCACCCACACCCGCTTAATTCGTATCGATTCGTGTCGGTTAATCGTGTCGTGTCGGATTTTAACAGCCCTATTGAATATATGGCATTCAACCATATTACTTTATTTGTTAATAATGTGTAAAGGATATTGAGTTTAGATAGCAAATAATTAGAAAGTTCATAGTATTGATTGTTTGATATATAGTATTTTTCCTAATAAGGTACTTGAATAATCAGTTGAGTTCTATGGAACCAAGTTGGCCCTTCCAACTCCAAGCACTGTTTATGGTTTACCATTGGAGGGTGAGGTGATACATCACTGTGGAACAGTTAAATATATTGAGATTCTAGAACACACCTATGTATATAAAGAGTATTGAATGTAGATAGAAATGAAGTTTATAATGTCCACAATATTTGAAGGAGTTAATGTTCACTTTCCTGGGTAGACCAGTTGTGCTTATGTCTTTTGGAACAACAAAAAATGTGTCATGCTTTACTGATTTACATCTTACATCCATAAGGGTAGTTGGTTTAATGTAGTAGTTAAATACTCATATAAATTTGCATTGTTTATATACTTTTCTGGATGAACAAAGCTGTCCGCAATATTTGAGGCCTATTCGATGATCATAAAGTATGTTTTGGAGTTGACTACGAGGCACACATTAATTGAACAAGATGTTTCAGTTCCCTTTTTTTTTTGCAAATGGATATCAATCATCAAAATACTGGAGTACCTTTTTTTTTTTCTTTTCACACTGCTTGTTTTTTGGGCTTGGCTGTTTGGGGTTACCTTGTTGACTCACTTGTCATTGAACATTTACTTCTTTTTTCTTTGCTTCGATTTGACTTGGAGTTGGATGCATCATCCAGATGATCTCCTTTTTGACTTGTGATTCTGACCTGGATTTTTTATTTACAAGTCCCTTTGATGGCACCAGCTTCCAGATTGCGAGTGAGCTATACTTATGAACTTGCTATGCCCAGTTGGACTTGAATCATCTGTACCGTTATCTGAATAATGACCATACAGCTAATCATGTTCGACATATATAGTCCAGCACTTTTTGTTTGGATTGAAGCAACATGACCTTTGAAGGCCGTTGATTTGGGCTAAAGGTCCAAAGCATTTATATTTTGGTGGGTCTTGCTTAAGCTTTTCCTGACTACATGCTGTTACTCTGCTTTAAACTTGTTGTTTTATGTAGTTTGACTCTGCTTGGTGTTCTCTGTGTGTGTTTGGGGGTGTGGGTGCATGTCCATACTCCTTACCATGCTCACTGTTATTTACTAGCGATTGCGGTCTGTCAAATTCCAGTGAACAACATGGGAAAATGGTATATATGGGGACTTATGATGGAAAGCATATATTGGATAATTATGGCATATGGACTATTTTACCTGACCAAGGTTGCCCATATTTGAAGGTGGGGCAGTTGCAGGAGCAACTGTATTTACACACTTCTGCATACGATGAAACCTGGGATGCCGAATTGATATTCTTTGATTCTACTATGAATAGCTTTGTATGTGGGGTTACCCATTCAATTGAAGCATTTTTCCCCCAAAAAATGAAGCATTTTGAGGTGTTCCTTAACTAGGAGTTGTTTTACATCATCTCAACATTATAGGTGCCTGGTCTTCACAATATGGCTGTTGATTGTAGGTTTATTCTAACTTTACGGTGAAAGTTGGGATTCACAAGGAATTTAACCTCATTCTACAATGTATGTTGTTGCAGGTGACAAAATGTCTGCAGTGTGGTGACAAAGGTTTCTCAAATGCTTTGGTTTACTGTCTCAAGTGTCTGGATGTGGCTGTCCACGGGTAAGTTACTTCACTTTCATTTTCGTTTTTTAATATGTCCAGTCTGATTGCTGGTGCTGGCTTATTTTGTCCATTCTTTTGTCATTTTTCGCTTTGGAAATAATTGGTTGTCTGCTGTTATGCACATGGTCAGGGGGGTCCCTGGCCTACCCTCAACTTTGTTGAAATCAATTCATACATGTTGAATTATATATATGCGTATATTTGTATTCATATATTACCCATTCCTCCACTTTTGTGCCCACCCTATCGCTTTCATATAGACTCGATCTTAAACGGCTAGGAAAAAATTATGGCGAATTTTGGACATTTCAGGATAATTTTTTTGACATATTGGGGATCATTTTATAGCTTTTCTTTTAAAATTATGCCATCCTTTTGTAATGGTATTAATATTAGGCTCGTTGAGCAATACAATTTGAGGTTATTTTATAATTATAAAAGATAAAAGTGTAAATCATTTGGGACTTAAAAAAAGACCTATATATTAATATCTTCATCTAAAAAAAGGCAGTCATGTGCATGTGATGTCTGCCATTGTGGGGTCTGCAATTGCAACTATTTGACTCTGTGATGAGTTGTGGCTTGTCTAAGGTGAGTATGCAACAGGACAATGCATGGTTTTTTTTGTAAATCTTAGTGCTTGAAATTGACTTTCATTAGCTCCTATTTTTCAATGATTTACTTTTATGCTAACTAGCAATGCATTACGTGTGTTGCACGGAAATAAATTTAAAATATATTTTTTATAAAAAATATGAATTATATGTGTAATTAAATTAAATAATAAATTAAGTACCGAATAATTAATTTGTATTTTAATTATTACTAAATTTAATTATTAATTTATTTTAGAAGTCTTTGAGTACTTAATCTGTTATTTATTTAGGTATCTCTCTGACCCGTTTAGACATTTACACATCTAATTATATTGTAGAATTATTATTTTTTATTTTGTTAAATAGATTGATTAGATTGTTTATAATATTATTATATTATTGCATATCAAAAAATAAAATATAACATATATTTGACCATAAAATTCAATATGGTAACTTCATATATATAATAATTTAAGATATCTAGGACTTTACTTTTTCATATAGAATATCATTGTACGACGTGCGTTGTATGCAAATAAATTTATATAAAAATGTGAATTATATGTGCTATTAAATTAAATAATAAATTAGGTGTCAAGTAATTAATTCATATTTTAATTGTTACTTTATTCTATAAGTCTTTGAGCACCTAATCTATCGTTTATTTAGGTATCTCTCAGACTCCTTTAGGTATTTGCACATCTAATTATATTGTAAAATTTTTAATTTTTATTTTTTTTAAATAAATTGATTAGATCGTTTGTAATATTATTATATTATTGCATATTAAAGAATAAAATATAACATATATTTAATTTTAGAATTCAATGATAACTATATGTAATTTAACATGTATAGGACTTTAGTTCTTCATATAGATATAAGAGATTATATGTAACAATACTATTAATAAATAAATTAGATGAAAGTATATAAGTGGATGGGTATAATTGATTTTATTATAATAATTAGGGATAAAATAAGAAATCAAAAGTGTTTCACAGAGGCTGACAATAGATATAGAAAATTTTATATGACTGCACTACTAATAAATTAGTTTAAAAGAATTTAGAAGTCCTTATAAAAGTCAAAAACAAGTTAAAAGTCAAATATGAATAAAAAACAAAAAGTGGATGAAAGTATGTTGGTGAGTATAATTGACTTTATTATAATAATTAAGGATAAAATAAGAAATTAAATGTTTTTCATAGATGTTGATATTTATAAGTAGTATAGATAAACAAAAATATATGATCTTATGTTTCTTGATTAGGGAAATAAATTAAAGCTTGTATCTTGACACTTACTCTGATGCACAAATGCAACTGAAAGGATAGGTTGAAGACATATATAAAATAACGTGGAATTGCATCGATAACCTATTCTTATTACTTCAGGTGTGTGTTTGGTTAATTTTTAACTTATTCTTGGTCTACACTCTTCTGCTTTTTTCTAGCTACTGCTTGGATAAATTGCCAGAGACTTTTGGTGATTTTGTCCGTTGGTTTTGTGAGGACTGTAAACCAAACTTGCCAAACCAATGTACATTCAATAAGCACAAACTTCAAAATGGCCCATTTTCGCTACCCCCTGAAGCATGCAAAAACATGGACTTGACTGGACATGCTCATTTACTGAGTGATTCTCCCTCTCCCTCTATAATGAAATTGAGAGACTTTTCCTGCTCAATAGCCAAGACAAGGGAGCAGAGACAAAGTTGTTCCTCCCAGCAACGATGCAAGCCAAATACAAACCTTGGCTTGACGAAGCATGCTAAGTTGAGGCATGGCCGTTCTCCCCAGAAGACAATGTTGAGTAGGAAAACGGATGTTGCTTGCTCAGTAGTTGAGATGGTCAATCGTCAAAGTCCATCCTCCCAGCAGCAGCCTTGTGTGGCACATACAAAACCTGACTCCCCTAAGCATGATTCTTTGGTGGGTAAATGCCGTGGCACTTATGAGGAGATGAGGATTATCGGCAAGTGCAGTAACAATCATGGAAAAAAAGTGAAGCTTGGACAAGAAAGAAGAATGACACTTGACAGTCGGAGCAAAATTGATAATAAGGGATCTCAAATAGCTATTAATAATTCATCAAATAGTTTAGAAAACGACTGTCATGGACGTGTACAGCCAGTGATTGATCCAATTTGGAGGTAAGAAATTCCATTTTCTTCTGCATTTTATGTGAAAGATGTGAATTGTGTGATTGCCTAAAAGGCTAAAACTTAAACTTCTTTCGGCTGGTTGGTTCTGCTGACAGGGGAAGTTTTAGTATCCTTAACAAGAATGAGGAAATATTGGATGGATTCGTAGCCCATTTATCAAACAAAACATGCCAAAAAGTGTTTGAGGAGGCACAACCATTTCCGTCAGTGCTTTGCTTCGAGATGCTTCCCAAGTCTGAGTTATGGCCGAAGAGTTTTCATAAATTTGAGCCATGTGATGACAATATTGCCCTATATTTCTTCCCAGTAGACAAAAGGTGTTGGTTTCAGTGTCATGTTATTTTTCTGTCCAGTTTCTCCAAATTTTGGTCCAATCTCAAGTTAATTTTTCTTGTTACAGACACAAAAGGGTTTTCGACCACTTGGTAGACGAGATGAGTCTTCAAGAACTTGCCATGAGAGCCATCGTAAAAAATGCTGAGCTTTTAGTTTTCACTTCTATGGAGTTGCCACTGCTATACTGGAGTGAGTCCAGATTTCTGTGTTCTATGAGAATTTCCGGTCCATCTGAGTTGGTTAGTTTCTATTGTTTTAGCAATCAGTTTCTGGCTTGAAATATTGATTTGCAGGATTCCAGGGCAAGTACTATTTGTGGGGAGTGTTTATGAGTAAGCAAGCTTGTGCTCCAGCATGTATTATCGGGAGGACTGGGAGAGTGCGCTCAGTCTGCTTCACCTTCAACAATCCACCCCCGGGATGGAGGTTGCCAGAGAAGCCACAAATAAAGTATGCAGTGTATCAGTTGGAAGTAGGAGCAAATGGAGCGCTGTATATGCAAGGAGTAGTGCAGTTCAAAAACTCTATAAGCTTCCACTGCACAAAGGAGTATGTACATACATCAGCGCATTTGGAGCCTTGTCGGAATCTGCATGAATCTGTAAATTACTGCCGAAAAGAAGAAGGTCGTGTAGAAGGACCCTGGGAGATAGGGGAGTTAAAAGGGCAAGTTCATCAAAGGGATCGACAACATGTCATGAATGCGGTCAAGGAACAAAAGACGAAGAGGGAATTACACGAAGAGTTTCCCGAGTTGATGACGAAGTATCCAAGGTCTAACAAATATAGAGCATCTGTGATGTCAGATGCTGCATCCAAGCTTGCTGTGGATGCAAATGAGTTACCATGGCAAAAAAAACTGGTTCAATTAATGGAAAATGAACCAGATCGTAGAACGGTACATTGGTACTGGTCTGAAGCTGGAGGAAAAGGGAAATCGAAAATGGCAGCGTGGTTATCTGATAACATGAAGGCGCTTGTGTTGAATGCAGAAGCAGCAAAACGCTGCAATATTTACCATGCATATAATTTTGAAAGAATAGTTTGTTTTAATATTTCCAGGTCACGTAAAGATATTGAACACATATATCTAATTGTAGAAGAATTGAAGGATGGGCAAATATTCAGTACAAATTATGAGCTCACTCCTAAAAAATTCAACCCTCCACATGTAATTATATTTGCTAATGTACCTCCACAGGAGGAGAAAATGTCGTCTGATAGATGGCATATTGTAAATGTTGATTGAATGAATGCAATGAAACGTTTGTTATTCAGATTGTGGTTGCATAGTCTTTATACAATGTGTTCAATACATCTAGAATAGAGTACATGGACATTATATTTGGTGTTGTTGCTTAGTGTTGGAACACACTGATCTCTTTGTATGTATGCCTATTGCCTTGTGTAGAATAATGGTTGATGCTAATGTCTCAATTGAGATTCTGGGTAATACATTTGGGCATTCAGCTTTCGGAATAAGTAATATTCTTCTTCTTGTTGATTTTTGTGGTCTGACAGCTTTTAAGGCTTTGGTCAGAAGATAAAGCTTGGCCTTGATTTCCAAATGAAGGGTGGCTTAAAAGTCAAGAGAAGTGGGCTGCGCCTGAAATGCTTTTTCATGTGCACATCAAGATCAGATTTGCCCTGATATATTGTGGTGTCCGTTTCCTCTCATATTTGCCTGTAAAAGGTGGGTGCCAATGTTCGGGCATCGAGAAAAACCAGAGCTTTAGTGTATTCAATCAATTAAGAGGTCTTCTCTTGAGTGATATTAGGTGTCAATTTTAGTGTTATCAGATGAGTGACACTAGTGAGATATCAGAGTGAATCTCTTTTTATTGGAGTGAGTACTTGTGAGGCTTAAAATAATTGTCTTGTACCCTTATTTTTCTCCATAGTCAAAAGTGAAAATATCTTATCGTTGTTGTCGTGAACGTAAATAATAGTCAAATCATGTAAATTCCTTTGTCTTGTGTAATTTTCTTTCATTTTTTCATGTAAGTGTGAGTGTTAATATTGATTCACATTCGATTACTGGAATAATTTCTGCAAGATTTGGGGCATTGGACGGAGCATCAAGATATTTAAGATCCACACGATAATGTAGTCTACAAAACTCCATTATTGTTTATAGTTTACGTTAGCGGTATTTGATGATGCACAAAAATAATTTTGCACACCACCTGTCAAGTGTAGATAATAAATGCAATGAAATCAATGAAAAAATTAAGAAGACACAATCTATAGTGGTTCGGTCAATTCGACCTACGTCCACTCTTCAATGGCTTCAGTTGCCGGGTATTTTATTGATTCAAAGGTATGGAGAATGGAGATACAAGCTTTGAGAAAAAGAATGGAGAATCAAAGAAAATAGTAATCTTCGGTAGTCGGTTCGTCCTCTGTAAGTCTCTGGTGGAGCGTGATATCCCCTTTCTACCAGCTTGGAGCTATTTTATAGCAGCTAAGAGATTATTGTTGTGGAGATCATGACATATCCTCAAGGCTTCTTTATCGCAACTAAGAGATTATTCTTGGTGGAGATCACGACTTATCCTCAACGGAAGGAGGAGGTTGGGGAGCTCTTCATGAAACGTGGTCAAAGATTGGACCGTTTCCTTCGGTGGTGCAGATAAGCTTCCCGTGCTCTCCTCTTGGTGACGTGCTAAGCAA